ATCTTCTATAACAAACAAAGGTGAAAATTCATTGTAGAGAGAGTGAACTTTTCATAATATAAATATGAAGATCTAGCTGAACCGAACCAAAACCAAATCGTTCGGAGCTTTACCTCTTCAAATTCTTCACTACTATAAATAGGAGAACTATTATCAGGTGAATTATTATCAAGAGAGTTATGTAGTTCATTCATGAAGAAATCAATAACTAACGGTAAAATTGAAGGAGAGGAATTAATTATTAATTATTATTATTTATTTTTTTATGTTTTATTTTTTTTTTTTTGATTATTATATACTGTATATTAATATATTAATATATATATTTTATTTATTATCGGAAAAAAATAATTTTTTTTTATGTTCAATAATAATTTAAAAACCGAAACCAAACCAAAACCGAACCAAAAATTTCAGTTTAAACCAAACCGTTCGGAGCTTTAGCCAAAAGATTTGTCATTTTTTGAGGGATATTTGTAACTAGTAGAAGGAGAAAATATTAAAACGATTGATATTATTAAAGTTTGCTAAGATCAAGAAGGTTTATTTAGGTGATTTAATCCCTTATCTACCAAATAGTTTTCATAGAGATTCAGAACTTCACTTTGAAAATATCAAAGAATTGCATTATGTCAATACAGATTTGTCTGGATTATTGAATAATTTTGTTGGATTGTCAATAAAATTGAAAAATTAAGTGTTGAAATAAACGGGTCCTCGATTGAGAACAAATACACAATTGAAATCCTGATAAAGTAAAAACTCTGTAAAAGTCATCGCAATAAACTTTTTAAAAATAGAAACGTAGTTTTTACGTTTAGAGCAATGCGCTTTGGTAAAAAGGTAACAGTTTGTGGAGCATTGGTAAAAAGGCACGTTTTATTGTTATTGTCCAAAGGATAATTGGAAATACTGACTGGTTGTTATGAACATAAAGGTATTGAACAGTTTGCTGCTCAAGTTGATTTGTAAATAAACCGATGCGAGTTTGCAATCGGCCAAAGAAATATAAACAAGGGTAAACGTAAATGACTGAAATCAGTTGGTCACAAGTAAATAAAAAGAAACTTTACAGAAGCTTTTGACCTTTGTAATAGAGCCAACAACACCTACCAGATTCACCGAAGATTTCCAGATATCAAGGAAGAAGCAGTGAGCGAGACCCAAAGTAAATTGGCAATTGTTGTCATTGGCATTTAATTTAATTTCTAATAATTTTTTATAATGATTTGCAGTTAGTTCCAGATACTCTTAAAATACAATAGATGCTACCGTTATTAATAAAGAGATGATGATTATTGTTATTTAACAATTATTAACAAAGGCGTGAAGAAAATTTCTAATTTCGGAATAAATTTTAATCCAAAAAGGAAATCTTTTTCAGGCTGTTTTTTTATATTTATTTATTAAATAAATATTTGTATTTAAATATTAATATAAATATTAATATAAACATAAAAAATTAATATTATCAAAACAGTCTTTGTTCCTTGGCTTTATTAAACTGATTTTTTTGGTAAGCACAATAACAAAATCAAAAGGAAAACATTCAGTGAACAATTTTTGCTTAATAAACTGATTTTTTTAAAAATCTAACCCATTATGAACTATCAGTGTAAAGATTTAACTAAATTTGGTATTTTGTTAATGGACAGTCTATTACCTAACAACTATTAATTGAAAAAATTCTCACATTTTAAGTTAAAATTCTTGTTAAATCATTATTCCCAATTATATTTTTTTTTAATTGTCAAATTATCCTTGCTAAAAAAAATAAAACATGTGTACTCTTCCAAATAAACAATATAATGCTTACATTAAAAAAGTTATAGTTGAGCATATGAAGCATGCCATGAATGATTACAATTTTTTTGTTGTAAAAAAAAAATTTACTTTTAACAAAATACAAAATTAATATTGGTGTATCAGTACACAGGCAATGAAGTTGCTAGGAATCAAAATCACTAGTTTTGTATATAATGAAACAAGATTGTCAAAATTTGACCAATGAAATAGCTTGTTTTTATTGGAATGTTCAAATAATATAAAGACCAATTTTTGTTAGAAAATCTCACATTAATATGTTGTCAAAATTAAAAATCACATAATTCTCTCTATATAAATAATTCTGAGCATCCTTTAAGGTCTTCTTCACCTCATATCAAAAATAGAGTTGAGTAGTATGAATATATTTTTTCTTGCTCAAATTAAGATGTGTCTTGCTTTGAAAATTAATAGAGTGAATATTTATTATAATCAAAAACAAAACAAAAATAATATTAAATATAAGATAAATATAACAAACAAATTAAAATATTCATTCCCCTCTCACTTACACATTCCCTCATTGACTCTTGAGATCTAAATTTAACTGTAACAATATCATTCTAGGTCTGGTTAGTGGTAGTGTGCCACAAGGGGCAACTTTGAATACTATAGTGCAGGACACCTAGTCCCTACAACTTTTATTAGTCTTGCAAATCCTTTAACTCCTCCAAAAATGGAAATATGTGACCAAAAAAAACAAGATGTCATTTTGAAGCTAAGACCTTTTTCTACAAAATGACATTTTCATTTTGTTGATATGTCATATTTTTGTGGAGGAATTAAGCCTTAAAGTTGCACAAGTTTAACAAATTTAATCCCCCAAAGTGACGTGTTACACACAAAATTTTTCATATTAAAAATGAACGAATTGGAAGAATTGAAAATTTTGAAATCGGTATTGCGGATCTTTTATCACGTGATACCAATAAAGAGAATGCAATGTGCCAAATCTATTTTTAAAACATGTGACTGTAAAAATTTTATTGCATTTTTGATTGGGAATTTTTTCCCAAATCTGCCACTGTGGCGCAGAAAGCTGTAGGGACTATATAGGTGTCCTGCACCATACAAGAAATTAAACCTTTGCCATATGACTCTAATATGCCAGTATAAGAAAAAATTGCAGATCTGATTGAAATATGGAAAAGATTTCAAAAATCAGCAAAAAAAATTAAGAGTTTTGGCAAGCAATAGTGACACGACGAGCATTCAATCTTTTATTTGTTAATAAAACAAAGCAATAATAATAAAACAAAAACAGGACAAAACGACAGATTGTTTTTCTTCTCAGGAGCAGTAAGCATCAATTAACTAAATATTAATATTTAATATTAAATAGCTTGCTTGTTGAACCTTTTTTTTTAAATATATATTGTAAAAAAAAAAAAATACAAATGCAGTGGCAAGTAGAAAAGATTGATTGTTCCATAACATGATAAATTAATTTTCTTTACTGCCTTATCAAATTTGAAACCCTTCAGTATTAACCTTTTATATTCTTCTAATGCTGCTTTAGAGACCTTTAATTGAGCAGAGTCAAAATTGAGAATATGCGAGTTTTTTAATGAAGGAGCTCGGCTCATTGCAATGTATATTAGCAAAAAAGCTATAAAACAGCATACATATCAAAAAGTATGAGTCATCATATGAATGTTCCAGTTCTGGAACAACAGACTTTGAGAGTAATGCTTCCAATTCTGATCCAGATGATGAACCCTTTCTAATTATAAGAGGAACAATATCAGGCTGTGAAAACAAATTTATTTCCACATTCAATGATTATATTAGAGTATCAGGTGGAACTGTTCCAGAATGTCTTGATAGAATTGTATCAGAAATTTCATCATGGGTTAGGTCTAATGGAGAATAGTTAAATAATTATAATCATTAGTTATTTTTCCGGTTAAATATATAAATTACCATGAAAGTGAAAATAGTCAAAGTTGAAGTAGGGACACAAAAATTTATTGCAGTCTTGATCCTGAATTTGATGGGCCATCTATGTGTACTGATAAAACATTAAAGAAAATCGGATATAAAACTATTAGAAAAATAAACCCCAAAGAAAAAGATAGCAAACTCATCAAAAAATCTATTACAATCCCAACTGAAGTGCTCATAGCTAAACATAAATCTACATTACCTGATTATATCTTGCTAGGTCAAAGATGGTTCTGTGGTTTTAAACATGTTGATAATCATTCCCAAAGCTATTTACCAAAAATAGTGACAATGATAGTTGAAAAAAATGGATGTTATTATTTATTATTATGTGTGAGAATTAATGATTGCATAAATGCAAAAATGGAAAAATGAGAACGCACAAAGCCTGTCTTCTAATGTTTAGTGAAATCTGGGTGATGTTGTTGATCCAACTTCAGAGGGGGTGTGCTTTCAAATTTGGAAACAAGAAAACGAGAATATCAAAAAAATAGTTTCTACTAATAATGATGCACAACAATCTCAACAACAACAACATTCAACAATTGGCATTACAAGTCCAACTAATTTTTTGTCATTAAATGGTCGACAACCTTTAGCTCTTGAAAATTTTTTTCCTCCATGACAATCAATTGTAGGAATCCATTCAAGTTCTGCAATATTACTAAGAAGTAACTTTTCAGGTCCACTTTTATATTCATAAATCTTTTTTTTTTCCCATGTACTATCAATATATTTCAGAAAACTTAAAGATTTTTTGTGTATAATTTCCAATTTCTCATTATCAGCATTTTTTCTATGATCACAGTAAGATTTTATTCGATCAGATATGTCATTAATTGATAATGAACGTTTTAATCCCAATTCATAAAGAAAACCATTACTTAATTGAGCAGTTTTTTTATGATAACTATTGTTGTTGTTATTATTTGATGGTGCAACGAAATCATTAATAGGGAACATTTTTTCATTTTCAAAGAAGAATTCTAGAAGCTCTGGATCATAAAGTTCTTTCGGTTTGGATAATACAATTTTATCATCAACTCCTGTTTTTCCTTGTACCATCAACATTGTTCCACTAGGTACAAATTTAGTCTCTGATAATTGCTCTTTAAACTCATTATCATTTGTCATAAGTACAGGTGATACTTCAAAAAGTCTTTTGATAACTAATTTAATTTCATCAAAATTACGTTTTTCCAAATATGGTAAAACAAATTCCTTCCAATATCTTACATGCTGTAGACGTGGAATTTTGATTACATCTTCAAGCAGATATCTGTAACTGTCACTACTATCAGTTCCAACATGTAAAAATCCATCTTTATTTTTTGGCACAATAATTTTTCCATAAGATTGTTCATCTTCTGTTGGTAGAAGGAACCATTTTTTGTTAGTTACAACCAAATCAATCAATTTGTCATTTTCGTCTACCTCGCTATATATAGGAAGATATTTTAAAACTTCGATAATATAATTTTTAGGTTCTAGCAATAACTGATCTAGTCCGGTATATTTTTTCAAATATTTTGCTAAATAATTTTGAAAATAAAAGAGAATTTTGTTTATTCAATTGTTGTGGTAATAAATTGTTTGGATATTGTCTATTGGATTTCAAAGACTTTAATACTGCTACTACATCTGTGATGTTGAATACATAATTTTCTAATCTGGTTTCTTTTGGTGCAAAATTTTCATTGAATTCTTTTTCAACAAAAACAAGTCCAAACGATTTAAGAATGATAATTATTTCTTCAGATGATTCGGTTTTCCTACCACTATAACAAAAACATTTTTGAATAGTTTTTAATTTTCTCAAAGTAATATTAATATTATCATCATTAGTTGGTAAAATATGAAGATTTTCAAAATGTTTAAATTCAAACATTTCTCTATACAATAAGTTCCCCCATAACTGATAAATCCATTCGCGTTGATCATTATCATTTTTATGCATTCTTATCTCATCGTATTTTTCGTTATAATTAACAGAATTAACCAAGTTTGACTCGATCATTTTAGCAACTACACTTTCATTCAAAATTTTAATATTGCTGATTCCATGACGATTCGTTTCTGCATTGTTGTATAATTTATTCCATAAATTTGATGAAATTTCTTTATCAACGAATTTTGCTAAACAGTTTTTAAAAATCTTTCTCTCATCATATTCAAGCGTTACTTGATTATTGTCAGGACCAATATAATAACAATCCTCATCCTCTCCTTCGTTTGATGATGCTGTTGAAATTGTGCCTAATGATCCATCAGATAATGGAATCATTTTTAATCCATCTAAATAATCTGATTTATCATCACCCAAAATATAATTAAATATGATGAGAATTTTATCTCTTGGAATATTTTCCAACAGATATTTCCTTTCATAGAAAAACATTTTTACAATTCTGGGTGAATAGAATTTAATTGAAGACCCATTTTTAGATTCCTTCAACACAATCAATATTTCACTAGGAACTTCTATCACAAGGAATCCTAAATCTGCCAAAATTTTGAATATTCTTTGATCCTGTGTTTGTGATTCATCTGCAAAGTATCCGTCAGAAATAGATAACCAACAAAAATTTCTATCAATTGATGATGGTGAGGATGATGATAGTGATGCTGAATTGGAGTCAATGATTTTAGAAGGACTAAAAAAAACTTTGTCTTCAACTTTAATATTTTCCACAACATTTAATAAAATATCTTTACAAAATTTATTGACACTGGATTTTTCTGATGAAAATAATGGCCAAAGTGAATAAAATTCTTCGGAATTGTTATAGATCACATGAGAAGAACATAGTTGATATAACAATTCTACCCATGCAGATGGTAACACTTGGTTAAACAAATATTGATTCCAACCAACTTTAAGACGAGCCAATGAACCTACAGCCTTCATTTAAAAAATAATTTTATTTATTAATATACATTTATACAATTACTATAAATATTTATATAAATTGAATTCACTTACCAGATCTTCATTATCAGCAGGTAAAGAACGACGATTTGTGCTAACCTATAAACATATATTAATATGATTATAAAATGTATATTAGCATAATATATTAAAAAGCATTTATGAAAGTTACCGCAAAATATCCATGAACAGAAACTCTAAAAGGCATTTCAATAGGGAGTGGCAGAAAACAAAATAATCGACCAAGTGCTTGCTGATCATCTAAACAAACAGCCAATCCGACATTTGGAACAAATTTGTATTCTTCAATGCTTCTTTGAAATTGCTTTATGAAATATTTTTCTGCTTTATTAAGATTATCCAAGTAATTTAGAATCAACCATTTTTGAATTTCTGGCTTGCTATCCTTTTTGTTAACACATTTACTAAATTCGGCAATGTATGCTGGTTTAGAAATACTGGTATCAACTCTTTGATCTTGAAAAATTTTCATTTGATTGACAATTTGCTCGACAACTAATCGACGTCGACTTTTAACTTTATCAGCATTTTTTAATTTAATCTGGTATAACAAATCAGGTTCCATGGCGCCTTTTTTAAATTCATAGAAAGAAATTGTTTCGATGTATTTCAAGAAAAGTAAACAACTGATACTTTCTTTTTGATAAAAATTTTCAAACATTTCCAATATTTTATTTGGACTATAACTTATATTAGAAATATAGGAATCAATAGAATCTTGCTCAGTTCTTAGTGGATAACGAAAAATTGTTCCATTGAATGGTTTGTTGAATTCAATGTTGCCAAAGGGCTTTGAGAATGGCAAAAATTGATCTTTATAAGAATTTTGTAAATCGTCTTCAACGAAATCAAAAGAATGCCCGCCTTCGAAATAATATTCATGTGGATCAAGAATCACATAATTCCTATTAGTAATAAATGAAGGAGAATCGGTTATATGATAAATTGAATTGAAACCAACACCCATAACTAGTATTAATAAAGTAATAATTAATTATTATTGAAAATCAGATAAATTTATATTTTCAATAATTATTATAATTAATTTATATTTACCTCCAATTTTGTCAAATTGATCACGCTTTTCACTATCAGCCAACTTCAATAAAGAGGAAAAATCTCTTTCATCAAAAATAGTATCATTTTTTGATAGCAAAGCAGGTCCTTGATAACGTTCAAGTTTTAAATTTTTTGTTTTACAGTTAGACAATAAAGGCTCAAATAATCGAGTCGACGGATAATTATTATAGTCGAGAATAAATATTTGTTCAGTGCTTTTAGCATCATCAGAATTCTGAAGAATTTCTCTGAGAATTTGGGAACCATCTGGATAATCTTCAAGAATTCTTTTGATTCTATTAGTGTACGGCTCTCGAGGTTTGAAGGCTATTCCAATAGGTTTTTTTGACATATTGTATTTTTTTTTTTCAAAAAATTGCGTAAGAATGCTGTTTATTTAAATAATTTATTTAAGTAATATTTTTAGAAGAAAAAAGATATGAAAAATAATTTATTAGGAAACAGTAACAATACTTGTATTCATTTAATATTAAGACAAATGACTTATCCCAGTAACATGTTTCATAATCAATATCTTAATATTCTATTGAATAACCCAAATAAAATCAAAATGGAATGAATGAAAAAGTTACAATTTAGGGAATATATAGTTTGATTAAAAAAAAAACCTGTTTTTTTTCGTGTTTTTTATTTTTATTTTTGTTATCAAATTTGGTAAACAAATTTCGAGACTATTAAATTTCGTGCAACAAATTTTTTTTTTTAATATGAAATTAAAATAGAATGAATGTCCACTTTGTCTAGTTTAGCCTCGTATATAATAATAAATTCATTATAGGAATCCAGAATAGTGATTAAGCCTGAATTAAATGTTTTCAATTTGCCTGAGAGCGATAAAAAAAAATAAGTTTTAATTTTACTACTTCGTCAAGAGCTTTTAATCGACAAAATGGCTCTTGGTGAGAAGCCGCCTTTAGTCGCGTCAATGATTAAAGTCAAAAGTTTTGTCATTACCTTTGATTAAAGTAAAAACCTTGACTAAAGTGAAGGACAGTCGATTAAATAAAAATTCTTGACTAATGATGTATGTGATGTATGACGATATTTTTTACTTTAGTCGTCGAACGTGACTAAACTATTGACTAAAGTACTGACTAAAGTTGGTTTTTTACCAAAGGCTATTTGACGATTAAAAAATTGATGAATGTGGTAAATCTTTGCATTAAAATTAAAATTAAAATTTTTGGAGTTTTGCAATAATATTTTAATATCCACTTCATCGCCACTATCATTATTAATTGTCGAATATTGAATTTAATTAAATCGCAAATTATTATTTAAAAAATAAAACAGCTATTTGGTTTCCATAAAACTCAAATATTCTTTTGATAGTCAATTGTTTATTATAATTATTATCTACAGTATCTCGAGATATATTTCAATAGCTTCGTCTGGTGCATAAATATCATCAAAAATACATATAGTAATGAGATTATAATTATAAATGACTAGTTATTTATTTATCTAATGAAAATATTGGTAGCATGAAAATAATAATAGTAGTAGTAGTTGATATATTTACATATTTTCTTTTTGATGTAAAATAAAACTCTAATATCTGCATAATTATTTTTTTCATAAAATAGATGTTTATTTTATCTGTTCTAGTAGAGCTGATAGATTTTAGATCAATGAAGTTTTTTATCTATCAAAAAACAATCCATTATAATTTGTGAAAAAAGAAAAAATTTTTTGTCTCTAAATAAATACTAATTAATAAAAATTAATTAATTGGATTTTGAATCAAATAGATTCATTGTATTTATTTTATTGTTCATCTCTTTTAGTATTAAGGAAAGAAGTTGCATAACAGCACATTATTTAAATTTAATTTTTTTAAAAAAAATAATCAAAAAATTTTCCTCCTTTCTCTTGTCGCTTGTTTTAAAATAATACTTCCCCTTTGTCTTGTCGCGTATTTTCAAATAATACCTCTCCTTTTTCTTGTCGCGTCTTTCCGCCGGCATCTCCAATATCATTGTTTCTTTGCATCGTTATCAACTCTTCATTGTCCTCAATATATTGATTGCATCGTTCAACCAATTGATTTGCCCTGCTATCCTCTGCCCATTCCTTGACTTCTATAACATTATCGGGCCCAATATAACGACTAATCAAAATCTTTTCTTCTAATCTTTCTTTTAACTCATCAATAACATACATATCAGAATATTTTAAAATTCCAAGTAATAATTTCAAGTAATAACTTTCATAATCATCAACTTCTGTCTTTTTTTTCGCAAGCTCGTTGATCAATTCATCTAATGATTGCCCATACAGCCATCTTAAAAGTATTTTAAACCCTTCAGGTTTTATATCCGTCAATTCAACATAAACCTTTTGGAATTCGATTGATTCTTCTGAATCGCCACAAAACATACTTTTGAAGTAATCAGACGCGGCTAAAAATAAAAGAAGTTTATTTATAACTTATAAATTAATATATAATAATAATCATAATAATGAATCTTACCAGATAAAACATATCTATTTGCACCAATTTCTTCCATTTCTTCATCTCCAACTTTAAATATCACATCATGATGACGAGTAGCCGGATGTCCAGCCAAACCATCATCTAACCTTTTTAATAACTTATCTCGTTGAGAATATTCACCAACTTTTACTTTATAATTAATCCCTTTCAATTCTTTTGCACCAGAAGCCTTTAACAATCTTTTGTATGGCTCCAGATTTGGTTTAACTTTGCATAAATTGTTATCAATGTCCCCCGGAATATCAAATACAAGTTGATTTCCACTTTTCCAACTATCTGTAAAGGGATTCTCGCCATTTAAAAATACAGGCTCATCTGTTTGAAAAGTTTCTTGAAGTTCGTCTTCACTTATAGTTTCTAAACAATTATTTAAAAAGGTATATATTTCCTTTATAGATTTTAATATATATTTATCCGCATTTTGTGATATCCAATCTGTGTTACCTTTCCGTGATTCTAATGATAAATAGCACAAATGGTCAAATATTTGTTGGAATTTTGGAAAACCTAATCCCGCAATAAAAAATGAGTCCAGTGGTTCAATACTTCGATCAATCAGACAAACTTGGGTCCAACATAAATCACGATGTCTTTGAAAACATATAGAATTGAGTGATTCATAATAT